AAGAGAGAGAGGGAGAGTAAGAGAGGTAGAGTAAGATAGCAAACATAAACAGGATATTGATATTTATGGGCTTAACACAGGATGAGGTGGAGCAAGGTGAGTGGGCTGTTACTTCTTCATTGGCCAAGAGTTCACGCCACTTCAGGGATTGGAGCTGTGCCATCCAAAGTTCGCGCCATTCACAGGGATTGGAGGTGACTGTTCGCATACCATTCAGTGCGTCATGGACCTGAGCTCCCAGAAGAGAAGTGCTCCAGGTGCCATCTTTCCTGAGCTCCCAGAAGAGAAGCACTCTGGGCGCCATCTTTACCAACATTTCTCCCTTTTTTGTTTTGGTTTGGGGGCGTCATACTCAATCTGGATACTTCGTGCTGAGTAGGAGTGTCGTTTAGAGGGAGGAAGGGAGGTCTGTTGGTTGGAGAAGAAGGGCTGGGAGGCCCCATATCCATGCACTAAAGGCATGTATTTCCTCTGGGGAGAAGTCCATGAATGTTCCCTGCAACTATGAAAAGAAACAGCATTAATTTCTGGCATGATGCCCAGTCTGTAGGGCTGGTAGAGAAAAGCCTGTGTCCAGGAGAAGGCAGATTAGAACATAAATCTGAAAACCCAAGGCTTATTTCTTTGGCATGGTGGGGTAGAGATGGCCCTTTGGTGGAGTTGTCATTCGGTATCTTCATCTTTCAGCACTCAGTGGAGTTTTCTTGGGATGACTGGATGTTCATGTCATCTGGCTCATTGGCAAGTAGCTGGTAATCCCTGAGGAGGAGCTGATTGAAAGTTTGATTAGAGATTTTGATAATTTGTCCTTGAAGGAATTTTAAAATGCAAGGAAGGAAGACACAGAATAAAAAGACGAACTAGAGGTCCCAGTATGGAGAGAATCCAGCAGATAAGGGGGGTTGTAAAGAGGTCCCGATAGGATTGTTGTGCCAATTGCTGATTTCTAAAAAGAGTGTGGGTGTACTGTGTTGCTGTGGCTTCCTAGATCCTATCAGGAGACATGTTCTTCTCTGGAATGGGATGGAGGGAAGTGTGTGGCTGTGAAAAATGGAGCTTGAGAGGGTTATCTGGGGATATCTCACAGGCAAATCTGGGTAATTGTGGGGATCCTGCAAGGTTGAGAGCTGTGGTGGGATTGTCCTCTGGAGGGCTTGCTGCTGGTTTTAACCTAGAAATATGAACCCAGTTGGTTAGTTTCTTTCCTTCCTGTTGGAGTTCTGCAGCATTGGGTGTACACAGGACTACCTGTATTGGCCCTTCCCATTTGGGGGTTAGGAGGGGATCCTTCCCCTGGGGAAGAAAACTAGACCCATTCTCCTGGTTTGAGTGGAAAGGAGGCAGCTGAGTCTCTGGATCTTGAAGCAACAAATCTTGTTGCTTCCATAGCTCAGAGTGTATAAGGAAGAGAAGGGGAAGAGCATATTGGTTGGGGAGGGGCCAAGGATCTGGTGAGATCCCTGGGGATAGAAGGGGAGTACCATACATTATCTCAAAGGGGAAGCAAGAGATGGATTTTGGTAAAGCCCTCATGCATAGTAGGGCAAGAGGGAGAAGTTGAACCCAATCTAAATGAGTCTCTGAAGATAGTTTCGTTATGATGTCTTTAATTGTGCAGTTGGCTCACTCAACCTTACCTGATGCTTGAGGCGATAGGGACAATGAAAGTGTCATGGGATGGATAATGTCTTTGTCACATTCTAGATTACTTGAGAGACAAACTCAAGCCAGTTGTCAGATTGGATTGAAGCAGGCATCCCAAACCGAGGGATTACTTTGGTTAGGAGGATGTTAGCAACTGTGGTAGCCCGCTTATTTGAAGTGGGGAAGGCCTCTACCCAACCTGAGAATGTGTCTATTAAAACTAGTCTGTACTTGAAGTTTTTTACTCTGGGCATGTTAGTAAAGTCAATTTGCCAATCTGCCCCAGGAATATGGCCCCTAGCCTGATGAGAAGGGAACGTTCCAGGTTTTAAAGATGTATTGGAATTCACTCTTTTGCATATCTGGCATGAGGCTGTGATTTGCTGTATCACTTCTTTATCCTGGGGAGTCAGAGTAAAAAAAGAGTGGAGAAGGCTTTGAGAGTCTGTGAACTGGTGTGGAAAATGGAGTGGAGGTGAGTTAAGAGGGCATGTTTAGGAGGGTCTCTGTTATAGAATAATGATGGATAGCACGTTGCAATGAGAGATCCAGTGAGGTCTGAAAGGGCAGCTGACCTGATTGCCTGATCTGCTTTAGAATTCCCCTGTGTGACAGGGGAGGAGTCATTTTGGTGTGATCTGTAATGGACAATTCCTAGTTTTTTAGGAAGCTGGGAGGCTTTTAATAGCTGGGTGATGTGTGTGGAATTGGTTATAGAGGTGCCCTTTGAGTTCAGGAGACCTCTCTCCTTCCAAATTGATGCATGAGATAAAAGAATGTGGAAAACATATTTGGAATCAGTGTAAAGCATAAGATTTTTCCCTGCTGCCAATTTGCAGGCAGCTACCAGCTCAGCCTGTTGGTTTGTGGTATTTGCAGGCAGGGGATTGACTTCTATTATTCATGATAGGGACACTATGGCATATCCAGCTTTTCTGGTCCCCTCATGCATAAAGGAGCTGCCATCAGTGAACCAGGTATAATCAGGTTGGTCTAGAGGTCCCTCAGTAATATTAATTGGGCGTGGTAGGAAGTTTTCTAGAATTTCCCTGCATTTATGTATTGGGGACTGTGTTGGACCTTGAGCCTGAATGGGTAACAGAGTTGCTGGGTTGAGAGGGGTGCAGGTTTGGAAGGACATGGAGGAGTCATAGAGGAAAGAGACCGAGAGAGAGAGAATTCAACAGGAAGGGAGTGTTTGCAGTCCTTTGTATGTTAGCAAGTCCTTGAGGTGATGAGGGGAGATGACAGTGATTTGGGCTCCAAAGATAAGCTTTTGTGATTCCTTTAATAAAATATAGGAGGCCGCTAGGGCATGGAGACAAAGAGCCCATCCCTGGACAGTTGGATCTAACTGTTTCAAAAGGTATGCCACTGGAGCAAAGGTGGGCCCATACATTTGTCCCAGCACCCCCAAGCCTTGCCCTTTGTTTTCATGAACATAGAGAGTAAAAGGCCTATTAACATCTGGCAGGTGTAGGGCCGGTGCTTGTAAGAGGACCTTCTAGAGCATTCTAAAATGTGGTGCTGTTGAAAGTAACAAGGGCTCATGCTTGTTCCCCTTTGCTAGATCATATAATGGTTTGGCAAGTAATGAGAATTTTGGTACCCATGCCCTTAAATAGCCTGCCAGACCCAGGAACGAGAGTATCTCCTCTTTAGTTTTTGGTACTGGAAGGCTTTCAATAAGGCCTTTTCTATCGGTTGTGATAGCTTTCTTTCCTGGGGAAATGTGGAACCCTAAGTAAACAACCTCAGAGAGAGAGAGAGAGAGAGAGAGCTGTACCTTTTGTGGAGAATCCCTATATCCTTGGTGAGCAAGAATATTCAGAAGGGTAGCTGTGTCCAACTTTGAGGTTAGGTGCTGTATTAGTGTGTGAATGGGTGGCTGAATGGGTGGTGGGTGGACTAAACTGGGTTGGAGGGACTGGGATGGAAGGAACGGAAGTGGGAGGAGTTTGTGCAGAAGTATCAGGAGGAAAGGAGGAGAAGTGTCTGAAAAAGAAGCCACAGATGTAGAAGACAAGGAAGAGGGAGGAGGTGAAAGTGGGGAAAGCAGGGCTGAGGGCAGGGGAGAGTGGTATGAGGCAGTTCATCACCTGGGTCGAAAGTGGAGGTGGAGAGCAGAGAAGAAGAAAGAAGAAAAGAAGGTGTGAAGGCAGAGAGTGGAAAAGAGGAGGAAGGAGGTTTGAGAGCAAGGAGTAGCTGTTGAGGCTTGTATTGAGTGCAGAAATTTGGATGAGATTGAAGCAAGAAGAAAGCCTCCACATAAGGAATCCCATTCCACTTCTTTGATGGCTTACAGTAATTAAAAGATCCTGGAGTAAATTGGGATCCAGAGACCCACACGTGGGCCAAATGATTTGGTTGTCTAAGGGGTATGTAGGCCAGTCCTGGGTTCAGAATTTTATAAGCCTTTTCAGTTTAATATCAGGGGCCATGCTCAGGGTTTTCAAATTTTCTAAGAGGCACCACAAGGGAGAATGAGCCAGGAGGAACAAGGAAGTTCCCATGCTGGAAGGGCAAGATGGGAGTCAGAGAAAGAGTAAGAGAGAAGACAGAGAGAAAACCTGGGCTGGAAAAAAAAAAGGCTTCCTGGAAGCTTGGGGTGAACAGAGGATAAAGTGGGCATCCCCAAAATGACCAACTGCCGAGAGGAAATACAGAGGGTCCTACCCCGTCATCACCAGTGAAGTGCAATCTGTGAGACCCACATAGGGCTGGGGCCACAGGCAACCTGACGTCAGGAAAGTTTTTCAACTGGAATGAGAGAGTCAGGAATGGGAGGAACAGAGTTCCGGGAGGAATTAATGGAGTTCCAGACTCTGGTGAGATGGGCTGTAGCAATTATACTAACCCATTCACGGGAGATAAGAGTGAAGAGAGACAGAGGATATAGAAAGAGAGAATTAATCCTATGTCCCAGGTGGTCGATTCCCAGGGGTGTCCTAGCAGAGCACTCAGGGTCCACCGCAACCCTGATCGATCTGGGTTGGGTACATTCCCCCCAAAAAACACCCAGAGGGATTGCCGGACACTCAATGGCCAATTCCCTCATTCTGGTGAGTTAGGGTTCAGGCGCTCATGGGATGGGGGAACTCACCAATCTGCAGGACAGTGGTGGATGTCAGGCAGGAAATCAGAGGAGTGGACTATGATAGGAACAGTTGGGCTCAGCGTTTGTGAATGGGGTTTCACCTTGAGCAACAGGGATCCCTGTCCCAGGTTTCGGCACCAATGTAAAGGACGATGGAAAAGCTCTGTAAACTCAACAAGCCAAAACAACCATTTACCTGTCCAAGATTTTATTAGCAGGACCATTGAAGCCAGTCACAGAAGAGAAGGGAGTTGAGAGATACAGAAGGGGGGAGGGAAAGAGGAGAGGGGGAAGAGAGAGGAAGGGTGAGAGAGGAGAGGGGGGAGAAGGGGGGGAGAGTAAAAGAGAGAGGGAGAGTAAGAGAGTAAGAGAGGTAGAGTAAGAGAGCGAACACAAATAGGATATTGATATTTATGGGCTTAACACAGGATGAGGAGGAGCAAGGCGAGTGGGCTGATACTTCTTCATTGGCCGAGAGTTCACGCCACTTCAGGGATTGGAGGTGTGCCATTCAAAGTTCGCACCATTCACAGGGATTGGAGGTGACGGTTTGCACACCATTCAGTGCGTCATGGACCTGAGCTCCTGGAAGAGAAGTGCTCCAGGTGCCATCTTTACCAACATACTCCAATCGTACTTCAGCAACACTGTGTGAAACTGGGGTTATTGAAAAACTATTAACTTCTTATGAATTTATTCAGTGTTCAGAACGTCAAGCTAGACTTTTCTTCCACTGTTCACAATATAATGGCAACCTGCAGGACTTAAAAGTAGGAGATGATGTTGAATTTCAAGTATCATCTGACCGGCAGACTGGGAAACCCATTCCTATTAAATTGGTGAAGATTAAACCAGAAATCCATCCTAAAGAATGAATGAATGGACAAGTTGTGTGTGCTGTTCCTCACAACTTAGAGAGGAAGATCTCCAGCTGCCCCGGGTCAGAGTCCAACAGGGAATGTATGCTATGAACGTAATGGGGAAGTGTTTTATCTGACATACACCCCTGAAGATGTTGAAGGGAATGTGCAGCTGGAAACCGGAGATAAAATAAATTTTATAATTGATAACAATAAGTATACTAGTACTGTCAGTGCTTGTAACATTATGCTATTGAAAAAGAAACAAGCCCACTGTCAGGGAGTAGTTCATGCCATGAAGGAGGCATTTGGCTTTACCAAAAGAGGTGATGTTGTAAAAGAGATAATCTTTCACTATAGTGAATTTAAAGGTGACCTAGAAACCTTACATCTTGGAGATGATGTGCAATTCACAATCAAGGACAGAAATGGTAAAGAAGTTGCAACAGATGTCAGACTTTTGCCTCAAGGAACAGTCATTTTTGAAGACATCAGCATTGAATATTTTGAAGGAACTGTAACCAAAGTTATCCCAAAAGTACCCAGTAAAAACCAGAATGACCCATTGCCAGGACGAATCAAAGTTGACTTTATGATTCCTAAAGAACTTCCCTTTGGAGACAAAAATACAAAATCCAAGGTGACCCTATTGGAAGGTGACCATGTTAGGTTTAATATTTAAACAGACCAACATGACAAATTAGAATGAGCAACTAACACAGAAGTTCTATTAAATACATTTCAGTTCACTAATGAAGCCAGAGAAATGGGTGTGATTGCTGCCATGAGAGATGGTATTGGTTTCATCAAGTGTGTGGATTGTGTTGCTCATATGTTCTTCTACTTCAGTGAAATTCTGGATGGGAACCAGCTCCATATTGTGGATGAAGTAGAGTTTAATGTGGTTCCTGAGATGCTCTCTGCCCAATGAAATCATGCTATTAGGATTAAAAAACTTCCCAACAGCACAGTTTCATTCCATTCCCATACAGATCATCGTTTTATGGGCACTGTAGAGAAAGAAGCTACTTTTTTTCCAATCCTAAAACCACTAGCCCAAATAAAGGCAAAGAGAAGGAGGCCGAGGATGGCATTATTGCCTATGATGATTGTGGGGTGAAACTGACCATTGCTTGTCAAGCCAAGGATGTGGAAGGATCTACTTCTCCTCAAATAGGAGATAAGGTTGAATTTAGTATTAGTGACAAACAGAGGCCTGGACATCAGATTGCAACTTGTGTGAGACTTTTAGGTCATAATTCCAACAAGAAGCTCTTGGGTTATGTGGAAACTCTGAAAGATAATTTTGGATTCATTGAAACAGCCAATCATGATAAGGAAATCTTTTTCCATTACAGTGAGTTCTCTGATAATGTCGATAGCTTGGAGCTGGGGGACATGGTTGAATACAGCTTGTCCAAAGGCAAAGGCAACAAAGTCAGTGCTGAAAAAGTAAACAAAACTCACTCAGTGAATAGCATTACTCAAGAAGCTGATCCCACTATCTATTCTGATAATGTCATTTTCCCCCTCAGAGGTGTTGATCCAATACAGATTGAGTATCAAGGAATGATTGAGATTGTGGATGAGGGGGATATGAAAGGTGAGATGTATCCATTTGGCATAGTTGGAATGGCCAATAAAGGGGATTGCCTGCAGAAAGGGGAGAGTGTCAAGTTCCAATTGTGTGTCCTGGGTGGGCAAAAATGCACAGACTATGGCCTATAACATCACACTCCTGCACAGGGCCACAGTAGAGTGTGTGAAAGATCAGTTTGGCTTCATTAACTACAAAGTAGGAGATAGCAAGAAGCTCTGTTTCCATGTGAAAGAAGTTCAAGATGGCATTGAGCTACAGGCAGGAGATGAAGTGGAGTTCTCAGTGATTCTTAATCAGAGTACCGGCAAGTGCAGTGCCTGTAATATTTGGCGAGACTGTGATGGCCCCAAGACTGTTGCAGTTCCTAGACCTGACCGGTTGGTCAGTCGCTTGAAGAACATCACCCTGGATGATGCTAGTGCTCCTCGCCTAATGGTTCTTCATCAGCCAAGGGGACCAGAAAACTCAATGGGATTTGGTGCAGAAAGAAAGATTCGTCAAGCTGGTGTCATTGACTAACCACATCCATAAAGCACATCATTAACCCTCTATGATCAAGTTGGGGGATTCTGATGAATGGTTCTGAATATCTCCCACTTCATCCCTCCCCAAATCTGGAATGCTTATTCTATTGAGCTATTACACCAGTTTTAACACCTTCCTCGTGTTATGTTTTAAAAAATAAATAAGAAACCATTTTAAAATTATGCACAGTTGCAGCCTAGAAAACTCAAGGTGGCGCCTTGTAGTATCAATTATAGGAGCTTTATTTGGTGCCTTTAATGCAACTGGTAATTGCAAAATCCACTTCATCTGTGTAAGTGAAAAATACAGACTGTTATCTTGTTGGTCCTATGAAATTCTGCACTTGATATTTAGTACATATTCTACCTTCATTACTTCTGGCAAGATGTTCTGCCTTAGCACTCAGTTGCATTCTTTTCCTATTCTTTCCTGTTCATTATGCTTTAATTCTGAGGACCATATGAGGGTAGGATATATTACCTTTTAAAAATTACAAAAATTTGTATAGGCAAACCATTTTCTTAAGTTGATGGCCAAATGTTAAAATGATATTTTTCATATCATTTATAATCTTGTCACAATCCACTTAAGAAAGTTTGGTTAGATTTCAGTGAAAATTATCTTCCAGGGTAGTTTTTTTCCTGGGATGGGGTGCAAATAACTTTACTACAATTAATATATATGTTGCAGAATTTCGTGCAAATGAATTGTGCCAGCAGTGTGATAATTTGAACATATTTAAACAAATAAAAAAAGTATGAATGCACAAACTTGCTGCTGCTTAAATCACTACAGCTTATAAGACCCAGTTTCTTTTACGGATTTAAAAACAAAACAAGAAAAAAAATTAAAAAGTTGTGCCTGAAATGAATCTTGTTTTTGTTTTTTTTTTAATAAGTAGCCACCTAGTCCCTGTGTCCTGTAGAATACAGGCATACAGGCACTTGACCCTTGGTGTAGATTCTGTTCACGGATATGGATTGGTCTGATTTCTTGACCCTCATCTTAAATTGGCCATATTCAGTATCCCTGACCAGTGGACTGAAGGCTTTCTCTAAGATGACAAGGGTCAGCTCAGGGGATGTGGGGGAGGGCGCTTTTATCTCCCCTTTGTAGTTTGAGATTTTGATCTGGGTAAAGAGGCCATTTATCTTTGTAAACACAAAACATTTTGCTTTCTCAAGTTTTCTGTTAATGAAGAAAGAAAGGAAGTGAATAAAGTTTTACTGATTTTTCAGACACCAAAAAAAAAAAACCAACTCATTTTCTCCAACTTCTTCTATAGACTCAATTGGAATAGTGCATAAATAAGCTCATACTTTATTTACCCTCATTGTGCAGAGGGAGCATTTTATTTTAATTTGCTAGAACCATAGTAGATGCTTAATTATTTCAAATCTGAGTCTATGTTATTTAATCAACAGCTTTAAAAGATAAAAATTCACTTTATTTCATATCTTCCTCTGGCCAATCCTCACTGTCACCATAAATATGCTTCTCTCCCCAACCCTCCCTGTCACGCACACATCCATACACTCACACAAAAACAAATAAATGTTCTTGTTCATCTGTTGAGTAGAAAGTCATTTATTTTTCTCTCATGTGAGAAAACCAGTTTCTATGACCAGTTCTGAACTATTTCTATGAAGTTAGAATATCTTCCTACTACAGTAGGGGAAACTGAGGCCTCAAAAGGGTAATTGAGTGATCCCCACTCAGTTAGCTCTAAGAGCCCTAGGACTCCTAGATTTAGGTATAGCACTTTCTTAGACTGTTCTTCTTCAAAGATACCAAAAGAGAAGAGAAAGTGGCTGGAAGCTGAACCCTTTGCTTGCCTATTTTATTAAATACAATAGAAGAACTTATAGAACAGTCCTTAAAATCCTTATTTATAATTTTGTTTCATTATTCAGGGCTTTTAGCTGCCTTGCAGATTTGTGTGGGGAAAGGAGTTCAATCACCACTTAGAAGGGCTTCCTTTTTTATTCTGTGGGAAAAAAAATCAAGAAAAAAACCCAGTAAGAACAAAGATATTTGGTAGTTAACAGTTCGTAGATTGAAGACAACATTCTTTCCTGTCTCAAAATTGTCATATCACTTCAAGGTGCTCAGATATAATCCATAGACATATCAAATGCCATCTTTTTTACTTTCCCAACTATAGTAAAGAATGATGTCCCCAATTAGGGATGTCTTCCCTGGGTGCAGGGAAGGGGAGTGGCCACACATCTGTTACAAATTTGAAAACCCTGAAATAGATTATGTATGAGGTACTTTCCAGTGCTAGCCTTTTATGATTCCTATAAAACCACAGCGAAAGTATCCAGCATTGAATTACTCCATTCAATGCTGGATGTGCATATTGCCAGTAATCTCTCAGAGTCTTATGTAAATGGTCCAGAGGGTAAATGGGAGCTTCAAGGTGCTGGGAGGGATCTGGGGCTGCCCTGAATAGCCAGCCCAGAGGCTGGCAGCACAAGGATTTTCTAACCCTCTGATGGTGGGGAGCCAGCCCACTAAGATCTTTCTTCTCCACTTCCTCTTTATCCTCATTAGTCTTCTTTACTCACACAGTGACACTTTCTCTTTTATAGCAGTGGTCTTTTACTTCTCAGACCATGAAACATCTAGAGTCTGAACAAAACCACATGCTCTCTTCCATGAGAAATCTACTCACAAACACATCTATACAATTTGGGGTCTTACCTGTTTAAATAAATATTTTTTGATCTCTTAATCTCCATCAGATGCTCATCTCCATCAGATGTAGGTGATTTGGAGATGTTACAATTCCTTGGGACTGTATCTGTGGACCCAAAGTTTAATAGAGACTCTTAAAGTTTTATTTGGAGCAGAAGGCAATTGTTCCTGTTGTGATAATTATTACCAAACACAGTAACAACAAATTTTTACTGGTAAGTCAATATAGTGGTAAGTCCCAGTGCTAAGAACTTTGCCTGAGTTAATTCCTTTAATTCTGAAAACAAACTGTATGAGACAATAACACATTTTAAGGACTTTTTAATAACAGTGCCCAAGATAGAGTGGATCCTCAATAAATGTTAGTTGTTATTACTGCTTTTATTGTCATTATTTTTTGGCAGTGGCTCAGAAATCTTAGGCACTTTCAGCAAGGTTAAAACTGTGCAGTGTCTTATGTACTTCATTGATGCTTATTTAGAGTGACATGTGATTAAATAAAAGAAGAATGTACAGGATAGGGGTCCACTGGGGCCTCTAGCCATCTGTTCCAAATGCTGTCTCTCTGGTTCAGATGCCCCAAGCTGTCTTTCTGTCAGAAGATGATTGGATTCTGTGCTTATATAATAATTCATTGATAATTTGTGAGATGCATTGTTTTGCACCACTAATTCTCACTCTCTCAATATGACCATGTGAGGAAGCATTTGGTAGGTATTTATCTATCTAGAGCTTGTTGGTGAAAGACAATAGACTAGTTTGGCCTCTGAAAGATCAAAGCCTGGCCCATGGATTTCACCAGAATCCTCCAGAAGTCAGCAAGTATGTTAAGCATGGCAACACAAAGAGGTTGCTCAACAGTTCACATATTTTCCATTGCTTTTTAAATGCCTGTATATAATTCTGCTAACAAAACAGGCTCAAAACTTTCTAACAAAGCCTTAAAACTTAGACTATAAACTACTTTAATAATTTATGTAAAGAGCTTCAGGGCATTTTTCAGAGGATGATTATTAAAATCATCTTAATATGGAATATTATTTGGGTAGAAAATAGGAAAACTAAATATATGGTTTACACAGGCTTAATATAAGAAGGAAAACATTCAGAGGCCTAAAGTTTTGATTAGAAATAGAATACAAAAATATGTAACAATAATTCACTAGTATATGGAATTGGATACTATAAAGCAACTTAATAATTTTTAATTTGGTCTGGTCTTTAATGAATAAAATTTCTAAAGTTAGGGTCTCAGTAGATATGCCATTCATCAAATAGTTTTTTATGTGCCACCATACAAGGTACCCAGGAAAGATGTATAGATGTGTAATCTAAACAAAGATTTAGAACAGTAAGGTGGAGAATGACAAGCCTCTACGGGAGCTCAGAAGGAGTCTAATTTAGAATTGTAAAATTTGAAAAATGCAAAGCAGTGTTCCGTACAATAAGGATTTGGCATATTCACACATTCAAGAGATGTAGGGGTTTCAGTATTGCCGTCCATGTTGTTTTTCATCTTTTAATAACTTTCCTTCTGAATATAAAGCCTTAACTTCTGAGTGTTGACAGCATAGAAAAGATAATGAGCACAAAGAAAACAAACTCATTCATACTCTCAAACTCCTTCTGCCACACACCCACTATCTGTTTTCTTTCAGCTCTTTTCATGCATCTTCATGTGGATCTTTTTCTTTAGGAAAAAGAAATGATATGGTAAGAACACATTGCTTGTTGTCAATGTTTACTGCAGTCATTAAATATTTTTAACAGCAACAATGCTTTCAAAAGGTTTAGTTGTATCCACAAGGCTTTAAGAGTCAGAAGTTCTGGGTGCTAGATCTTTTCCCACAATCTATCAGCTGTGCAACTTTGAAAAAAAATCTTAGATGTTCTGACATCCAGTGACTTTGTTTGCAAAATTAAGATAAAAATAGCTAGCATTTATTGAAGAAGCATGACTCAAAGCATTTTCTGTAAGTCATCTCACAAAATCTTCCCAGGATTTTATTTCAGGTAGACATTGTATTTTTATGTTTAAAGAATATAAGTACACACAATATTGTGTTTTGTTGTGATTTGTCCAAGATTTCACACTTGGCTATGAGTCAAAATTTAAGCACAGGTAGTCTGACCCCTCTACCCCCACAATAACATCTAATTAGTGCTTTCTCAAGTTTCTTAAGGCAGGATATTGAACCCATAATTTGTTAACTCATTTTCTATTCTAAGATCTATGATAAATTACCTGTGAAATGAACATTTCCCTTATATGGATTTCTTTTTTTAGTAGTTTTTTAGTTGTAGTTGGACACAATATCTTTATTTTATTTATTGTTATGTCATGCTGAGGATCGAACCAAGCACCTCACACGTGCTAGGCGAGTGCTCTACCGCAGAGCCACAATTCCAGCCCCTTATATGAATTTCTTAATTGAAAAATTTTCAAATCC